AGGCTGTAAATCTTTACGGGAGCAGAACGCCTCATCTTCCTCCCACGGAGCAGCTGGTAGTTTCGAACTGCTGACCTTGCGGTTCGCAGCCCAATTTGTAACCATTACGCTAGTTAAATTATAGAAAGAAGGAGAGTAAACAAAACCATGATCAAACCATTGAACTGCTTTGTCTCTACTTTCATTAAGCATGTAATTTAATGATTGCATGTAAATATGCTTTCTTAATTGATAGAATATACATTTCTATATTAATGAATTCTATATTGATTAACTCATTCTAAAGCATTCTTAAAGTTATTGTGTTAAATTCATCAAGTGCTTAATACAGTTTCAAGTTTCCTGATTTTCTATCTACTTGTACTTCAAACACTGAGAGAGGAATGTGCTATTTCTTCATGTGTTTCTGTCAGTATTGCTTCATGTATTTTGCGACTCTTATTATTTACACAGATAACTAGAATTATAATGTTTTCTTGATCAAATAACACCTATATATCATTGGAAAATTACTTTCTTTATCCCTGATAATATTTTTGTCTTGAAATCTACTTTAGCTAATATGAACAGAGGTACTCTGTCTCCTCAATCCACAGTATCACCCTTGTTCCATCTGAGTGTCTCTTACCAGAGCTGCAGTCTGGAAACATGCAGGGCAGTTGATACAATTGTAAACTCTCTTCAGTTGTTACATAATCTCTCAAGAATGTGTTGTTCTTTATTATGAGATCTCCAGCATCTTGTAAACAGCTATTTCATATATTTGCACACTCCTTCCCCCTTTCAGTCGGAAGGGTGAATTCAGTTGCCATTACTTCATCTTGGTTAGAAGTATGACAGAAACTTTAAATGGTGAGTTTGGAGTTCTGGAGTGATGCTGCAGGATAAGCACTGGAAAGCAAGGTCAGTTTGAACCACAAGGTTGACAGTTCAAACTCAGCAGCCACTCCTTGGAAAACCCCATCCAGGGTCACTATGAGTCACAAATGACTCGACGGCACTGGACAACAGCAACACTGGGAACACAGAATAATCATTGAATCCTATTATGAAAGGAGCGCTGGTAGTGTAGGGGTTACGAATCGGGCTGCGAACCTCAAGGTCAGCAGTTCGAAACT